GTCCAGGACCCCAAACCCTCAAGGCCCATGACCCTCCCAGTACCCCCAAAATGCTAAAGCCCTGACCTTTAAGCTCCCACACACAGGATGCCCCAGGAACCTCTCAGACCCAGAACCTTCCAGATCCCAAGGCCCAGGACCCTCCCAGACCCCCCAGAATCCCAAGGCCCTGGCCTCCAAGCTCCCAGGTGCAGGATACCCCAGGATGCTCTCAGGTCCAGGACCCCAAAACCTCAAGGCCCATGACCCTCCCAGTACCCCCAAAATGCTAAAGCCCTGACCTTTAAGCTCCCACACACAGGATGCCCCAGGAACCTCTCAGACCCAGAACCTTCCAGATCCCAAGGCCCAGGACCCTCCCAGACCCCCCCAAATCCCAAGCCCCTGGCCTTTAAGCTCCCACACACAGGATACCCTCAGGCCCAGGCCCCCAAATCCCAAGGCCCAGGCCCCTCAGGCCCCTCTGCCCAGAACCCCAACCCCCAAAGCACCCCCCAGAAACCCAGAACCCCCCCAAGCAGGAGGGGCAACACGGGTGAGGGACTCCAAGCACCGAGAAGGGCCGGGGCTTGGGGCCGAGGCCTTAGTCCTGGCCCCCGGCCTCACCTCAGGTGAGGCCGGGGGCCAGGACTAAGGCCTCGGCCCCAAGCCCCGGCCCTTCTCGGTGCTTGGAGTCCCTCACCCGTGTTGCCCCTCCTGCTTGGGGGGGTTCTGGGTTTCTGGGGGGTGCTTTGGGGGTTGGGGTTCTGGGCAGAGGGGCCTGAGGGGCCTGGGCCTTGGGATTTGGGGGCCTGGGCCTGAGGGTATCCTGTGTGTGGGAGCTTAAAGGCCAGGGGCTTGGGATTTGGGGGGGTCTGGGAGGGTCCTGGGCCTTGGGATCTGGAAGGTTCTGGGTCTGAGAGGTTCCTGGGGCATCCTGTGTGTGGGAGCTTAAAGGTCAGGGCTTTAGCATTTTGGGGGTACTGGGAGGGTCATGGGCCTTGAGGTTTTGGGGTCCTGGACCTGAGAGCATCCTGGGGTATCCTGCACCTGGGAGCTTGGAGGCCAGGGCCTTGGGATTCTGGGGGGTCTGGGAGGGTCCTGGGCCTTGGGATCTGGAAGGTTCTGGGTCTGAGAGGTTCCTGGGGCATCCTGTGTGTGGGAGCTTAAAGGTCAGGGCTTTAGCATTTTGGGGGTACTGGGAGGGTCATGGGCCTTGAGGTTTTGTGGAGGGGAAGAAGCTTTGGGTCAGAGGGAAGAAGCTTTGGGGCAGGGGGTGGGGGAAGAAGCTGTGGGGCAGAGGGGAGAAGCTGTGGGGCAGGGATGCCGGGGAGAAGCTATGGGGCAGAGGGAAGAAGCTGTGGGGCAGGGATGGGGGAGAGAAGCTATGGGGCAGAGGGGAGAAGCTGTGGGGCAAGCTCCAGCAACGGCGCAGGAAGAATTGACAAGTTGCCCAGCCCCGAGCGTGGGGTTTATTGGTGGGTCCCGGCCCCAGTGGGGACAGCGCCTTCTCCCACCCCAGCCCCACAGCCACCAAGCCGGGGGGGACGCCGGGGACAGCGGGTCACCCAGGAGCACCCCACGGCCGTGCCTGGGGTCCCCAAAGCACCCCCCAGCTCAGCCCCAGTGGGCACTGGCTGCCCGGTGTCCCCCCTGACAGCCCAGCAAAAAAAGACAGTGAAAGGGACATTATCATCTTATTAAAGGCCTGGCCCCCGCGGCCATTTCACACCCCGCGTCCCCCTCACAGCCCCTTCCCTGCTTTTCCCTGGGGTGCTGCAGGGGCAGCTGGGGGGTCCCCATCCCCACCGAGCCTGGTGCAGGGCGGCGGAGTAGCCCCCATGGGGCGATGGCACAAGAGGCCCCGCAGGGAGGGAGGGCAAAGTCCCTGCAGCCCCCCTTCCCCGGGAGCCCAAACAGCAGCTACACGTTGAGGAAGGCGAAGGCCGATGGCTGCCGGCTGCCCTCTGCGTCCCTCTGCCCGTCCTGGGGCTGGGACAGCGTCCGCGGTTGCGTTGGCGAAGAGTCCGGGCAGAGCATGGCTCCGGGACGTGCCACCAGCTCCATGCCAGCGAAGAGGGACAGGCTGCAGGAGGGCACCGTCTCCCCCGCCAGCCTGCTGGCTGCCTCCCCCTCGGCGGGCACCGCGGCCCCGGGCTGCCCGTGGGTCTCCGCTTCCACCCCTTGCTCCTCGCCCCGGGCTCGCGTGGGCACGGGGAGCGGGGCGGCGCTGAGGGGGGTGAGGATGCTCTCGCCTGCCAGGGGGGGGATGTCCGTCAGCAGGTCCCCGGTGCACGGGGCTGAGCCCGCGGGGAGGGCAGAGGGGTCCGAGGGCGGGTGGGTGCTCTTCGGGGAGGGCTGGCCCCTACAGAGAGCCTCGAACTGCCGCAGGATCTGGGAAAAGAGAGGGATAAACGGGAGTGAGAGCGGCGTTGGGAATCACAGAATCACAAAATCACAGAATCTTCTAGTTGGAAGGGACCTTAAAGATCATCTTGTCCAACCGTCAACCTCACTGACAAAAATAGACACCCACACAACAAACAAGGAGCATCATCACTAAACCAGACCTCCCAGCACTACATCAACCCGGCTTTTGAACACCTCCAGGGATGGTGCCTCAACCACCTCCCTGGGCAGCCCATTCCTGGGAGAAGCAGACAATTCCCATCCCTCTGGGACATGGATCTCCCCTGGGGCAACTTGAGGCCATTTCCTCTTGTCCTGTTGCCTGTGACTTGAGAAAAAAGACCGACCCCCACCTCTCTACACCCTCCTTGGGGTCTTGGCCCTGTCACCTTTTTCCCAGCGCCGGGGATCAGCCCCGGTGTCCCCTCCCGTGGCTCAGCCTTGTCTCCTGGGGAGGGAGCATCACCCCCTCCAAGCTCTCCGTTCCTGGGAGAAGCAGACAATTTCCATCCCTCTGGGACGTGGACGGAACCATTCCCAAGAGCTGGGTGTTCCCAGAGCTCATAGAATCATAGAATGGTCTAGGTTGGAAGAGACCCTTGGGATCATCGAGTCCAACCATCTCCCCTACTCTACAAAGTCCTCCCCTACACCATGTCCCTCAGCACTGCATCTAAACGGCCCTTAAACACAGCCAGGGATGGGGACTCCACCCCCTCCCTGGGCAGCCTGTTCCAATGCCCGACCACTCTTTCGGTGAAAAATTCCTTCCTAATGTTCAGTCTAAACCTCCCCTGTTGGAGCTTGAAGCCATTCCCTCTCGTTCTGTCACTAATTACCTGTGAGAAGAGACCAGCACCAACCTCTCTACAGTGTCCTTTCAAGTAGTTGTAGAGAGTGATGAGGTCTCCCCTCAGCCTCCTCTTCCTCATACTAAACAGTCCCAACTCCCTCAGCCGCTCCTCAGACGATTTGTTTTCCAGCCCCCTCACCAGCTTCGTTGCCCTCCTCTGCACTCGCTCCAGCACCTCCAGATCTCTCTTGGATTGAGGTGCCCAAAACTGGACACAATACTCCAGGTGTGGCCTCACCAGTGCTGAGTACTGGGGCACAATCCCCTCCCTACTTCTGCTGGTCACACTATTTTTGAGATGGGCAGACCCTGCCCCGGTGAGATGACACAGGGAGGTCCCCGAGAGTCACCTTGGTTGCTCGGTTGGCCACGGGGCCGGGGCTGCCTTGGCTGAGCTGCTGCAGGTGCTGCCGAGTCCCGGCGAAGATCTGATCCAGGGAGAGCAGGTCGGAGCACATGAGGGAGGAGATGGCACACATGGACCTCTGCGGGGAGGAGAGCGCGGCTGAGCCCATCAGGCACCGAAACGCCACGATTTGGTGGCACTTCTTCCCCCTTCCCTCCACCCTGTGCCTCCCACCACCCCAGGCACACGTGGGTGGCACACAAGGGACTGTCCCTCCTGCACTCACCATGCGGACGCTGTCACTAGGGTCCTCCAGAGCCCGGCTGAGCAGCTCCAGCACCACCTCGCAGTTCAGCAGCCCACACCTGGACAAGGGGAAGGGGTTACGGCTGTGACAGCCGCAGGCAGCACCCCGAGCCCCAGGAATGGGCAGCACCCTGTGCCACAGGAGGACACAGCACCCCAAGCCCCAGGAGCGGGCATCAGCCCTCCCACCTGGCACCATTTTGGCCCCAGAGGTCCAGGAAAAGGCAGCCAGGGGGGTGAGAAGGGATCAGGCTGCCCCTCAAAGCCCCCCCCAGAGCTCCCCGCCCGGCCCCACAGCACCCACGGGTCCCCAAGAGTGTCTCCCTCAGGCACTTACTCCTTGACAAACTGCTGTGCTTCCTCCCTGGTGAGGAAGACCCTGGCGCCGCGGGTCAGCGCCGACACCAGGCTCACCTCTCGCACGCAGTCGCCCAGGCTGTCAGCGTCCACCCTGCTCGGGGAGATACCTTGGTGGGGACAGGGGGACAACCCTGCTCCTTCCTGGGGACCCCCCCACCCTCCTGTGAGCAAGCAGTCCCTCCTCATTAGGTCCCCTCATTAGCTCCCCTGCCTGTGGGGTGGAGGGGAGCTGGGAGGCCAAGCACCCTGGGAGGAATCCAGCCCAGCAGCACCAGAGGACTCAAATTAATGGTGTGGGAAAACAAGGACACCGTTCCTAGAGACAAGAGAAGCATCTCAGAAGGTTCCCAGGGGAAGGAGAGCAACCCACAGCCCCATCCTCACCTCTCGGCCACGTGGGTCAGCTCCCTGCTGGCCCCGGAGTGGCTGTCGCTGCCCGATTTGCTGCAGGAATCCGAGGCGCGACTCAACTCGCCGTTGCCCTGCGAGGAGTCCTGGGAGCTGTGCCCGCTGTCCGCCTCCTCCCAGCCTCCCCCGGCCAGCCCCGGCTGGTGTCTCACTGCAGGGACAGCAGCAAGGAGGTGCTGACCCCCAGTACCTCGCAAAGACCCTCGCCAGGTCCTCCCCCAGCAGCCACCGGCCGCCTCAGCCCAGTGGTTGGGGGACATACCTCGGGTGCCGTGCGTTGTGGTGGCTGCTGGTGGCTTCACAGCTCCAGCCACACTCCTGGTGGGAGAGGGGGCTCTCACGGGCTGGTAGGTGTCCTCCTGGAGCTCCCTGCGGTGGGGCCGGGGTCCCTCTGGGGAGGGGAGCACAGCGTGGGCCACCGCTTCGGCCGCTCGCTGGATGGTGCTGAGCAGGGCTTCTCCCGTCGAAGCTGGGGAAAAGCCAAGGTGTCAGGGGCTTCCCAACGGAGCTCCAGCCCAGCCCCCGGGCACCCACCACCCCTCAGGGAGTCACAGGGGACAGCAAGAACCTGCCAGCAGAGAGGAGCAGCTCTGGCAGCCAGGCTCCAGGCACAGCCCGGGCTTTTGGATGGATGAGGGGAGTGAAGAAAAGCTGGGAGGTGCAAGCCATGGGGCACAAGGCAGCTCCTGTGTCCCTGTCACACCTCCCAGCAAGGAAGGAGCACCCCACTGGTAGCCCCACGGCCGTGCCACCAGCCCCAGCACCCATCAGATGGCTTAGGAAAGGGGAGAGCTGCAAAGGGTGCAGTGGGGTCTCCTCTGAGCCACCCAGAAACACTCACCAAGAGAGAAACACCCACCGAGAGAGCTGGCAACCAGGTTACAGGTCTTGGAACACCAGGAGCCTGGTCTAACCCCAGGCAGGACCCCCGGGGGTGGGGTGTCACAGGGCACAGGCAGGGCAGTACGGAGCAGGGGACCCCCAGGGGGTGAGGGGCAGCACCAGGCGAGGGCAGAACTTACCGGAGCCGCTTTTCTCACCGCTGAAGCCAAATCCTTGCAAGGAGCCACAGGGCCCAGGGCTGGAGCCCATACCTGGGGGAGGCACGAAGCCCGTTCAGAGGGAGAAAAAGGAATTCAGGGTCCCCCTCTGCTGCTGTTTGTCCCCCTCGTAAGCACAAGGGAGGGCTTGGGGCAGCCAGGAGGAGCTGGGGTGCAGGGCAGGGTACCGAGAGGAGAAGAGGAGCTAAGGGCAGCCTGTCCCTCTGCTCCCAGGGGCATGTTTTTCCCTCTAACACAGCACCTTGCAGCGTGCTCTGGCCAGAGCTGTGGGACACCCCCAGTGAGCAGAGCTGGGGCCTGCAGTGGGGCAGGGACAGCAGCCAGGCGCTTGTCACCGGGGCCTGTGACACCCTGCCCTCACCCCCCAACAGCCCCCCTGGCCAGCAGACCCTCTGCAGACCCACAGCTACAGCTGAAAGGACCATCCCAGAGTTGCCAGCACTTACCCGTGGGAGGCAGGGGACGGGCAGGCAGCGCAGAAGGCTGGGGGAGCGGCGCATCCGAAAAGAGAACGCTGGCCAAGTCCTGCCGAGAGAGAAAGCAGAGTGGGCAGAGGGTTGGGGAGCGCTGGGGACCTCAGCCAGGCCCCGAGGTGGCAGAGCTGCCCCAGGCAAGGCCCAGCAGTCACAGAATCACAGAATGGTTAGAGTTGGAAGGGACCTTAAAGATCATCCAGTTCCAACCCCCCTGCCCTGGGCAGGGACACCTCCCACCAGCCCAGGTTGCTCCAAGCCCCCTCCAACCTGCCCTTGAACCCCTCCAGGGACGGGGCAGCCACAGCTTCTCTGGGCAACCTGGGCCAGGCTCTCACCACCCTCACAGCAAAGAATTTCTTTTTGGTATCTCACCTAAATCTCCCCTCTTCCAATTTCAAACCGTTCCCCCGTGTCCTGTCGCTGCACTCCCTGACAAAGAGTCCCCTCCCCAGCTCTCCTGGAGCTCCCAGGGGGAACAGGGCAGGAACTCACCTGCGCAGCTGCCCGGACCTTCTGGTTCAAGCTGTTGCCGTGGAGAGGGTCTGGGGGCCCAGAGAACGCTGCAAGGCACGAGGTAAGGAGGGCTGGGGGTCACTCAGCTCCCAGACACGAGGCAGGATGGGGCAAGGACCCCAGGCCCAGCCAGTGCTCGGCCTCTGGAGCAGCCCCCACAGCCTGGGGGGGTTCTCCAGCACCACCCAGGGCTGCTCCCCCACTCTCCAGCCCCAGCTCCCCCCACTCCTCACCCCGTTACCTGCTGCCTCCCGGATGAAGCAGGCGTTCCTCTTCAGCTGCAGCACGAACTGCGGGGAGCCCTGGGCAGAGGCATGCAGCAGGATCTTCAGCACCTGGGGACACGGGGGGGAAAAAACCGAGTGGCGGCCACCCCACCAGCCCCTGGAGATGCCCCCCACCCATGGGGGGAGCCCCACAGCCGCCCCCCGCCCCTTTTCCCCCCCTACCTTCAGCTTGACGTGGCAGGAGCTGCTCTGCAGCCGGTTGAGGAGATACTCCAGCAGGCACTGCCCACTGCCCGGCGACTCGTGGGAGATCTCTGGGGCGGGGGGGTGTTAGGGATCCTGCTCCCCCCACGGGGACCGC